ATTAGAAGGAGCACAAAACATTGTAGGCCATTATTCTACATTACAAAGCCTTACCTTGATTAGTTCTCCTTGAGGGAGCACCCTCTCCCCCTCCCTCCGCCAAAAAAACACCTTTAGGCATAGTGATTGAGTAATTTTTTTATCAGATTCTTGTTGAAATGCATGTGCTCTTCCCTGGCCTTTTCCAAAGATTATTTCAGGTCAAACATTGCCAGAGTTCATGATCTCCTGGTGACAGACCATCCTTGATAGATGTCTAAGAGCAGGTTAGATAGACATCTATCAGGGATGGTAGATGGTACTGGGTTCTGCCGTGAGGGCAGGGGACTGGACTCGATGACCTCTCGAGGTCCCTTCCAGTTCTAGCATTCTATGATTCTATACTACTTCATTACACCATATGACTCTATATTTCAAGGGCCGTAGTAAGAGAATATTAAAACAAAACAACACACATAGAAGTTTAAACAAAACCACACCATTATTCCACGAAACAATAGTTAAAAGAAACCAACAAATCTACAATATTTGCCAATGATTGAGAATAAACTAGCCTTACTGGCTATTAAATTATAGTGCTGGCAAGAAATGTGTTGGAAAGAATAACTTCAGATGAGTGTAGAAAAACAATATTATAATGCCACTGCACTGGAATATTGTTCCCAAAGATAGGGCAGAACTAAGGGTGTTTTGGGACAGGTGATAAAACTGATTAAAGTCCTGCCAAGACTCGTGTATGAAAAGAGATTGAAAAGACTGGGACTGTCTAGTTCTGAGAGGGTCCAAATAAGAGGGGATATGGCTGGAGCATAGAAAATAAGAAAGGGTGTAAAGAAGGCAAATGGGCAGTGCCTATTGACCTCCTCTCTCAACACAAGAATGCAAGGACATTCCAGAACAATGGGACTTTTATAAAACCAGAAAAGAAATACTGTTTTACATGTGGTATAATTGCCTTGCCAAGCTCAGTGCCACAAGATATCACGGAGGCCACAAAGGATTTAAAAAAAAGAGGATACTTTATATAGATAATGAGAACATCTACAGCTACATTACATTGGACAAAAGAAAACAATAAACCCTCATGCTTCAGAGCAGAAGCAGACAACTGATTGCCTGGATAGGGAAGATAGCTTCCCTATAGGCCATGTGGAACATTTAGCAATTTCCTGCAATAGCCTTCAAAGAACTTATTGTAATAAGTTGGTCTATTATGGTGGGCCGGGATTGTATACAACCTCTCTAGGGGTAGAGGTGACAAACATATGACTTGGGAGTTTAAAAGCCTACATTGAAAATGTGTCAGGCAAGTATGGACCTTGGGGACAAAAAGATTTCCTGAGAATTCTTAAGGAGAGGTTAGTGCTCATTACACACACACACTACCCGCGCAAATGTTATTCAACCCTCACCCCAAATGTTTGAGGCTGTGCCCTAAGGACAGGGTCTTGGGCTGCTAGTTACCTGCTGAAGAAAATCAAGATCAAAAGCCCAAGCTGTATAAAGACAAGGCTGCTCTGCTGTTTTGGTTCTGGATCTAATATGGATACAAACTTGTAACAATTCAGAAAACCCAGTTGTGGGTGTTGAAGAGTTGAACATGACTAAAGCCTGAGGCTGGAATTGGGGTAACCTTTGGTAAGCTTTTTAGCATGCATGTAGTTTGTTTTTATATGTTTTCTCTGTCATGCTTTCTCCTTAAGAATAATCATGTTTGCTTAGAAGGAACTGCGTGGTAACTTATAACTGCGGACAACATACTGCGTAGCCCAGTAGGCTAGCTTGCCTTTATTATACTGGCTGTTTTGCATTATATGCTGCTGAATACACTAAAAGCAGAAATGCAAGGAGATTGTAGGCCTGTGCCACATCAGACGTGAACTCCAGCAAGTTAGTACTAGGCTTGAGCTCTATGAACCTTAGCTGTCTAAAGTTTATCTGTTCAAACAGCCTAATGGAACCCCCCAAGTATTGGGGAGCTGAAAATAATGTTTAAAGGGAAGTTCTGACCACACACTCCAAGAGTCCTGGAGACAAACTGAGGTATATAACAAGTACATGAGCTAAAGCCACAGATACCTAACCACAAGAGGGTCACGGTGATGATTGGGTTGCAATTAGCCACAGTTTTAAGAAAAAGCAAAGTACAGGCCCTCTTTAGGCAGTCTGACTTGCTGGCTATATCACAGTATAAATCCAGGGAGCTGGGGAGCCCTAAAAACCCCAGTCAGGAAGAAAAGTCATGCCATCTCTGCCCAAGAAATTTGATGGCAGGGAAATGGAAACCCATCCAGACACTGGGGAGAGGGAATATAGGTGAAACTGACAGGCAGGTTATTGCATATTTATCCACTTGAGAGTTTCTTGCATCTTCCTCTGAAGCTTCATGTCAAAAGCAGGATACTAGACTAGATGCACCACAATTCCAATATTTCTCAGTTTAAGAGACAATCGATGTACACAGCCAGGGTGCTCTCCCCCGCCCAAGTATTCCAAGTATTGTTTACCCTTAAGAGACTTGGGAGGACTCAGGACTGAAGAAAACAAGTACCTATCCTGTTCATTTTAATGCGATCATTTTAGACATGAAAAGAAACTTCAAGCTTAGATGTTTATGTCTCAATGGTGAAGAATTACATCTCAGGTCATTTAACATCCCTTAAGAGCTTTTAGCAATTTCCAAGAAGTGCTGGCTTTCTCATTGACCAACAAGGGAATGTATTTGTTTGTAACAAACTTCTAGGGATCAAATAACTTGTTCAAATATAATTATAACATCCTTTCCTCCAGGGAGCTGCCTCAGACATATATCTTGAGAGCTCCAGGTCTGTAAGTTTCTCTGACCCAGGCTATTGGTCTTTTTAAGGATTTCTAACACAGCCTGTTGAGTTGCTTTTCACTATGAATTTCGTAGCCATTTTCAGGATGTCTTCTCTTTTTTAGGAAAATAAACACTACATATAGAAATGCTAAAAATACTTAATATCAGGTGCCCTTCACTAGCGCCTGATAGCTAAAGTTTCTAAAGCACTCGGCAAACATTTATGAACTCAACATCTTCTTTCCCCACCCTCTCTGGGGATGGGAGTCATCATCATAAGTTCTAGTCTACAATGGGGAAACTGAAGCATAAGGCACTGAAAGTGATTTGCTGAAGATCATTGAATTAGTTGAGCATCCCAGAAACCTGGCAGTTTGGTCACGTTTGGTTCCCTTGAATGGCAGCCCCCAAATAAAACCTTATAACAAACATGGCTTGAGTTTCACATTTAAAAGGCAACTCTGAACAAAGAGAGATTATCACCTGACCTGCCTCATATGCTGACCTAAAGGAGGTATATAGGCAGGGCTAGATTAAGGCATGGGCTAGCTGGGCAGCTACCTGGCGCGCCAAACTATGGGGGGCGCCTGATGGCAGCTGTAAGAGGCATGCAGTGCCCCTTACAGCTGCCATCAGGTGCTGCACGCCTGGCTCCCAGATCGCAGGCTGCAGCATCTCCCAATGGCCACCCTGCAGCAGCCATCCGGGGCGGGGGCCGTGTTAACCCCCGCAGCTCCAGTCAGCAGCACCCTTCCTCCCGTGGCTGTGGGGCCCTGCACGGCCAGGCTTGGCCTGCCCCGGGCTGCGTCCCAGCAGCAGTAGCTGGGCTGGGCCGGGCCGGGCACGTGCATCCTGCCGCCACCAGCTCTGCGTGCCCTCCCCCACGTGCCAGGCGGGGGCGGGGCCACGCATGCGCTCTCCCCCAACCCAGGGCACAATTAAACTGTCTGCCCGGGGTGCCGGAATGGCTCAGTACGGCCCTGTATATGGAAGGGGTGCAAGGTCTGGGAGGGGGCTGTGACCTAGGGCAGAGATGCAGGATGAAGTGCAGGGGATTGGGACGTAAGGTCTGGGAAGGGCAAGGGGTGCAGGAGAGGGGCAGAGGGAGAAGCAGGCTCTGCCCAGGATGTGTTTACCTGTGCAACTCCCAGCCAGCTGATTCCTCAACCAAGGTCCCTACGTTCCATGCCCCTATACCGGCTGTGGGGCCACGTGCAGCTCTGAACGCTGCGAGCATGGAGGGGGGAAGGGTACTTTTTCACGCTGCCTATCCTGCAAACAGGCAGCACCCACTGGCTGGTGAGATTGTGCTTGGGACCAAGGCAGCATGTGAAACCTCTCCTCCCCACCCCTCAGGCATGCAGCTTTTAGAAAGCTTCTCTGCGCAGTGCGCGGGGGCAGGACAGTCAAGGAATCTAGCTGAGGCTCCCATGGGCCGGATCCGGCGGGTTGTATTTTGCTCACCCCATAATGTAGTCTGAGCTCCTGCACATCACAGGCCACAGAACCTCACCCACCCACTCTTCTAACAGACCCCTCACCTCTGGCTGAGTTCCCGAATTCCTCACGTCATGGGATGAAGAATTCACCATTTACATCAGCTTAAGCCTGAAAGTGACACAGAGCTTTTTTCATAGAGACACCGCCGGTTTTTCACCCTTCCTATCTGGTTACTCTAGGCCACTCTAATAGAGGAAAACTAAAATGTGCTCATAGGTTCCTATTTTAAATGTCACCAAATTAAACCACCTTCTGCACCAGGCATCAGCAAGCACAGAGCCCAGTTTGCAAGTTTTGTGATGTCCCTTGAAGCCTGTCAAAGGCTGCAGATAGCGCAATATATAGAATAATGGAAACAAAAGAAACCTAAGAACAAGAAAGGCCAGGAAGGGGGGGGTGACGTACTCAGATTTGCGACATAACACACAGTGCATTGGGAAAACATGGAGTCCAAACTTGTCCTAAATGAAGCACTCTGCACTGCAGTAGCTCACAGGCAAACATCAGGTGATCAATATCCCTCTTCCCCCCCCCTCCCAAAAAAAATTAAAGGTCTGTGGCCCTCCACAAATCCCACAGGAGTAGATCTCATTCGAATACCCATCTTTGTCGGGCACGGGGCCTCCCCTGGGGTGCTTAGAGAGAGATTTTGGGCCGGCAAGTAGAGCACAAGACTTACCGCCTCAAACCCTGAATGCAGCAACGTTTGCTGATGCAAACAAGAAACCCAGCAGCAATGTGGGCAGCCTGGGGCTGTAGTGCTGCTGGAGCAGGAGAGGTCATGCCTGCCTCCAGCAAGACAGTGCCTGGGAAGTGGAAGGGGCTACATCTTCCCAGCAGCATTCACATGCTAATCCCAGCACACAGTCAGGGAGTGGGGAGAGACTGCGCTCCTAATCAGGTTCCTTGTTGCTCCTCGGCATTGTGTGGATTACTGTAGCAGTGAATCAAACCCAGCGGGGAGGAGGGGAGCAAATCGTCCAATCCTGGGAACGTGCATTACTCTCTTGTAGTAATATTTTCTTCATCTTAACCTGCCTCGTTTACATTACTGGGTAGCTGGCACTTGCATGTGGGAGGGTATTTTTAGTTTTGTTTAGGTGAATTTCATGGCTCAGCAAGGATTGAAATCATCAGCTAGACTCAGTAACGGGTTGGTAGATATAAAGGCTATTCCGCACATCTTGCTAGTTCAGCCCTGAGACCCTCCCACGGCCTCTCACTCCTACCCTGCAGCCCCTCAGCTATTGCAGGCCTCCCTCCCTTCTGCTTCCTGCTCTAATACGCACTGCTCTGCTGATGCATCTCACTCTGATTCAGAGAGCTCTCTCCTACTCCAGTCCCCAGCCTACTGTGAACAGCAACTATGTTTCACATCAAAGTGGGGATGCCTCTGTGACCAGGTCCAGAGCAGATACTCAACAAACTGGCTCAGGTTTTGGCCTGGGTGAAGCCCTGAACCTATAGGACTGCAGAGCTGCCATACACTGCTAACCCACTTTGCTAATGGAAAGTCCTCCCAGCACGTTCTGGGAGGAGTGGGACAAACCGCAGGCTGGCTTTTCCTCTTCGACACAAGGCACTGTCACTGTTTATAACTAATCCCTTCTGTTCTGGAAAGAGCCCCTCCCCCCCTTTTGCCCCCAGCTGGGAATGCAGTCAAGCAGCAGCTGCTCCACGTCAGGGGATAGCGTAACCCCCAAACATCTCTAATGGGCGAGCATGCAACTTGGGTTACTGGAGAATCAAAGCTGCAAGGCAAAGGGGCCAAAAGGGGGGACAAGTAAGACTCTGCCTGGGTTGGGAGGATGGAGAGGCAGACACCAGGCAAGGGTGAACGCGAAGTGACCAATGGGAAAGGACTGTTGCAATCACAGCAGTGATTTGAGAGTCCATGGATGGGTTCTCGTTAGTGGTGTTGTTGAGAAGCCCTCTGGATATTCATCTGGAGGCCCCTTCCTGCCAGAGCCAGGCCAGAGCTGTCGTAAGGGAGAACTCAGAACTTTTGAAAACAGAGACACCAGTATGGAGGGGAGATAGGAATAGGAACTGTATATACACTTAGCAACACACACTTGTGCCCCACCGCCTCTACTACTCCTGCAGGCATCTTCTATCTCCTCCTAGGGTAGACCTTGGACCCGCAATCCCTATCCCAAATTCTCATCTGGCAGCAGCCACTCTCACCTTCCCCATCCCCCACACACCTCCTGTTTGGAAGCAACCCCCACTTCAGTCCAGCCTCATGTCTAGGTTCAACCACCTCCTCCTCCCTGCATGATTCCCCTGTCTGTTAGAAGGCCCCTTCCCTCTCCTAGTTTCCTGTCTGGATACTTCTTCACTCCACCCACCCAAATCTCCTGTCCAGGAGAAGTTCTCTCCCAGTCTCCTCTCTGGGACCCTCCCTCCCTCCCCCGGCTCTTCCCTTCCATGTCACTTTTTTTGGAAATGTACCTCCTCCTCCTCCTCTTCTCCAGTCTTCTTTCTGGAAGAAGCCCTCTCTCCCCCTGCCACCCATAACGCAGTAGCAGTGATGAAGCAACAACAGGAGCTGCTTTAACACTGGTGGTTTATGCAGCATCCTTAGCCCTGGGCCTGGCTCACAAGAGGTGACCTCAGTACAAACACGCGCAAGATTTTTTTTGGAAATGTACCTCCTCCTCCTCCTCTTCTCCAGTCTTCTTTCTGGAAGAAGCCCTCTCTCCCCCTGCCACCCATAACGCAGTAGCAGTGATGAAGCAACAACAGGAGCTGCTTTAACACTGGTGGTTTATGCAGCATCCTTAGCCCTGGGCCTGGCTCACAAGAGGTGACCTCAGTACAAACACGCGCAAGATTTCAGCAAGATACTCTACAGTACCAGAAACTGAGGACCTTGCCTAAGCACTTCTCTAGCCTGGGTCAAGTTAAGCAGCTTGCAAACATTTTGGGGCCTAGCCGGGAGGAGCGAGATAAATCAATGTGAGGCAACATATGCCACAATATTGACTTTGGCTCTGATCACGGGCTGCCAGCACTTCAGAGCTGGGTAATATTCAGCTTGATTATCTCTCACCCGCCAAGAGGAAGTTTCTCTCTGTGCTTAAAAATCACTGGGATGAGCCAAGGAGGAATTGATCTGCTGGAGAGAAATGCTGACAAGAAAACATGAGTCAGAGACAAGGCGAGGGCGGACAATGGACAAGCAATGGAGAGACAGCCTTTGGCATCTTGCCTGGCCAGGTTAGCAACCCAAAAGACAGCAGGCTGAGCAGGCCCCAGAGACACCAAAACTTAGGAGAAGACCCCTTGGACAGATCCTTCCCCCCTCCCACTCCTACCCCTCTCCGAGGGATTCTTTCTTTCCTATCCCTCCATTGCTGTTCAGCAGCTTTGTGAGCCACTGGACGTTTTTCCCCCTGCTGCTTCCAAGCTGAAACTTTCCCCTTTGTTAGGATCAATATCCCTCTCTTCCTGCTGCTCTGTGGCATACATCAGACTCCCATCCCTCTGCCAGTGAAGGAATCTATCCACACTCGTGCTGTACACACCCACTGCAAGGCCTGGCCCTGACTCTGTGGACTGTCTGCTTCCTCCATTCCCTTTGACAGTTGAGGGTTGCCTTGCCTTTACTCTCTCCTCATCTGGAGCGCTAAGTGTGCTACAAAGAAGCACTGTCAACAAGGTTAGATATTATTATTAGAGCCTTGCACAACTACGATATTTGTACCCACAAAAATGAGCCACGGAGGTGGATATTCATGGATGCAGTTACCTGCAGGTATAAACTGGAGATGCGTGGATTTGCAGGACTCTAATTATTATCATTACTACTGGTCCTGATCCTTAACCCATCTGGCCCATAGATTGATATACAGCACTACTAGTCCCAGGTGGGAGGAAGCTGAATGGGGCTCTCCACCTGTTACTTTGCTAGGGCACACATTCCTCTGATGGTCAGACCTGCATACCCCTGTCCATTACCATGTGAGTAGGATGGGAAGCTGAGCTCTTGGGCGGTCACCCAGGAGAGAGTCAAATGCCCCCAACCAATTAGTAGGGCACCCACAACACCTACCACGGGCAGCATGTGTTTCTAGTGGTGGTGCACATCTGCACATGCCTCAGTGCACATAGCATATTTTATTTCACACATGAGTGGAAAACATTAGAGGGAAGATATGTCCCTATAAAGGTCAGTTAATGCATCTGACACAGGTACCCATGTGGACTTTACTCTCTGGGCAATGGTGCAAGAGTGACTATGGTACTGAGCATTATAGATCTATGGGGTGGGTAGGTGCAATGGCAAACACGAAGACTATGTCTAGACAGCAGAGCTTTTCTGAGATACCAGAGGTATCCCAGAAAAGCTCTGCTGCATCCAAGGAATGCGTCAGCTTAAAAAAAAAAAAAGATTTTGGAAAAGTGGATGCGTTTTTGGCATCCCTGTAAAGCTCATTTTACGAGAAAGAAGGGATGTTCTGAAAGAGGGGTTTTTTTCTCCAAAATTTGGCCCCATGTAGATGGGCTAAATTTTGGAAAAGCCTCTTTCAGGAGTAAATTGAAAAAAAGATACACAATTTGTGTACCACAAATTGTGTTTCTTTTTCTGATTTATCTGTGTAGTGCAGACCTAGCCTAAAATCGCTGGCTGGAAATGGTGGAGACTAGAATTCATGTATAATTCTGTTTTAGGAAGACATCCTGAGGTAGTTTGCCTGCAGCAACTTCTGCTTCTAATTATAGGCTGTCAATCTCAGTTTCACCTAGAACAAGGGTGGGGAACCTTGATATGCAGCCCCTGGCTTGCCTGGATCTGGCCCCTGGGGCTTAGGGATCCCTGTCCCGGCACTGGGGAGCCCCTGCTGGCACTCCAGCCCTGCTCTAACTTCTCACTTGTGTGTGCCCCTCGACTGATTTTTTGTGGGTCAGCAGCCCCCAAAAAGTTCCCCAGCCCTGACCTAGAAGTGTAAAGTCAGTAAGGATCTATAAATCGCTGAAAAGTTTTAAAGGAACAGACTCAGTCTCTCTCTCTACACACACACACGATGACACAGGGAGAACAGAAAGGAGCAACTAGCTTTGAGGAAGGCACTTGGAATCACAGAAGTTACAAGTTTTACTATGCAATGACGTGTCCCTTTATTTCCCATGGACTTCATTCTCAAGAGCCATCGCTAGACCCGTTCTTGTGACAAACACTCTGGGTGAAGTATCAGTAAGGCAGCAGCGAATGATCTGCTGTTGGATTCATGTGGCCGATAGCACCCAGCCTTAAGTGCGAAAGGACCTCTGTCCCTATCCCACACAGTTCGGCAGTTCCATCATGTTTTAGATTAACCTTTTCTCCTTGTTGCTTCCATGGCATTCACTTCCAGCACAAGCAAAGCCAGGGGCTGCTCTCCTCATCCTACCCAGCAATATTGCACTGAGCCAGTATCTTACAGGAATGTCTGATTTCCCTCTCTAGAACTGGATGTGGAAGGGGGAAACACCTCCCACCTGAGTCCCTTCAACTCCTAGCAGAAGGATCTCAGCAGATAAAGAAGCATCTATCTGAATCATTTCTCTGTCCCCACAGCAGCAGCAACGCAAGGACCCAGATTGTGATTTTTCTGCCTCAGCCCTGGCTTATCCCATCCCATTAACAACCTGGCTTCCCCTCCCTTCTACATCCATTTTGATTCCAATTAAGAGACTGAGCAAGGGAGGGGAAGACTGAGGGGCAGCACCCTGAGCAGAGAAATGTTTGAG